GGAAGGAAGGAGGAGGGAGGAGGAGGAGGAGGATGAGAGGGGGAGGAGGGAGGAGGGGGGGAGGAGAGGAGGAGGAGGAGGAGGAGGAGGAGGAGGAGGAGGAGGAGGAGGAGGAGGAGGAACGAGTGTGCCCGACGACGGCCACTCGCGGAGGGGGCGACCGCGGGGAAGGACGAGGGCTCCGCGAGCCCCTTCCAAGGGCCTCGCCGAGCTCCGCGCGCACGCACGCCAAGCACGCCCGCTCCCACACTCGGCTGCACGCAAGAGTGACCCTGGGCAGGAGTGGCCTTTGATGGGCCTGTTTTCCACCACCACCACCAAGAGTTGGAGGGGGAGGGGGTCGTCCTCCTCCTCCTCCTCATCCTCCTCCTCCTCTTCCTCCTCCTCGTCCTCCTCCTCCCGGTCCTGCTCCTCCCTCCCCCTCCAACTTATGGTGGTGGTGGTGGTGGAAAACAGGCCCAGCAACCTTTGAAGCGCGGCTCAACGGGGGACGCGGGGGGGGGGGGCCCAACCTGGACGCGCAGGCCGCTGCTGACGCTTCGCGCTCAGGGATCTGGCGCCCCATGCCGCCCGCACCGAGGGCCACGCCGGCGAAAGGTCACTCCCACGTCTGGTCGGCACATCCCCCAAGCCGAGCGGAGATCGGCCCTCACTCTCCCACCGGCGCCGGGGCACGGAGCTGGCAGCGGCCCGACTGCTCTTCTTGTGGAGGGGGAGGAGGGCGAGGAGGAGGACAGGACAGGACAGGACATCCGCAAGAGGGGGTCAACATCGAAGCGTCCGCAAAGGAGCTGTGGGGTACGACTTGCAAAATCCCCCGCGAGTATGGTATGCCGCAGACCCAGACGTTTCCTGGTCATGGGGCCGGCAGGGGGGCGCACCCCGATGCTCTAAGGGGCGAGCTCCGAGGAGGCCCCGTAAGAAGGACTCCAAGGTTCCAGGGTGGCGGCCACCACAACCCGAAGAGACGACCCATGCATCCCGGAGCGGGAGGAAGATCGGCCGGCACTCTCCCCAGCGCCTGGGCATCGATGTGGCGGCGGCCTGGTCGCCTCTCGCGGAGGAGGAGGAGAGCTCCAGGGGTCCATGGGGGGGGTGACGAGAGCTCCGAGGAAGAAGACCGGCCGGCACTCTACCCAGCGCCTGGGCATCGATGTGGCGGCGGCCTGGTCGCCCCTCGCGGAGGAGGAGGAGAGCTCCAGGGGTCCATGGGGGGGGTGACGAGAGCTCCGAGGAGGAAGATCGGCCGGCACTCTACCCAGCGCCTGGGCATCGATGTGGCGGCGGCATGGTCGCCCCTCGCGGGGGAGGAGAGCTCCAGGGCTCCATGGCGGGGCGGGGGGACGAGAGCTCCGAGGAGGCGAGGGCTGGAGCCCAGCACGAGGCGACTGCCGAGAGAGCGCCTCGTGCCGAGCTCGGAGCTCGGCACGCGGCGGGGGGGGTGAGGCCCGTCTCCCGTCCGCTCTCCGCTCGGCCCTCTGCCCTGCAGTAGGTGCTCACGCTCATCTCGGTCGTCGCGCTGACATGCGGACCGCCGAGGAAGGAGCGAACCCCCTTTTTGGCCCGGGGAGCGCCTGAGTGCACCGAGGGGTGGAAAAATTAGGTCGGGCATGTCCTCCTACATGAGGACTATGGACGAATAATAAAAAATAGTCATCTGACGATGTTTAACCTACTTCTGAATCTTCCCCCTGTAGAGGGACAGTCCCGACTTAATGCTCATTCGATGAACAGCCATGGCACGACCTGAGTGAACAGCGAGCCCCTCCCAAACCCGAGCTGTTCCTGCTTTTCAGCGTTTGGACTTGAGAGTGCCTCGAGCTGCCTGGCGAGGGCCTTCCTTGGGACGCCTGGGCAACCTGATGTAACCTGGACTGCCATCTGACAGCACAGATCGAATACCAAACTAAATTGCGGCTGCGGATGTTCCCAGAAACCCTAGAAAAGGCAAAGACGCCCTGATACCTTTATCTTCGGCCATTGCGGTGAGGAAGATCGAGAAGGAGGAGGAGGACAGAGGAGAGTAGGACGTATGTGGAGGAGGAGGAGGAGGTAGTACAAGGCCAGATAGATGATGACGATGATGACGACGACGATGACGTTGATGTTGATGATGATGTTGTTGATGATGATGCTGATGTTGATGATGCTGCTGCTGCTGATGATGATGCTGATGATGATGATGGTGGTGGTGATTCTGATGATGCTGATGAGGAGGAGGAGGCGGAGGAAGTTGAGGAGGAAGGGGAGGAGGAGGAGAATGAGGAGGACGACGAGGAGGAGGAGGAGGAGGAGGAGGAAGAGGAGGAAGAGGAGGAGGCGGCTGCTGATGACGACGACGCGATGGTGGTGGTGATGGTCATGAGGAAGAGGAGGGAGGAGGAGGAGGAGGAGGAGGAGGAGGAGGAGGAGGAGGAGGAGGAGGAGGAGGAGGGGGAGGAGGAGGAGGAGAAGGAGGGAGAGGGAGAATAAGAAGGGATGAGGGAGGAGAGGGAGGAGGACGGAGGAGAGGAAAAGAGACAGGGCCGACGCCGAGGACAACAAGAGGAAAGGCCACCGCGGGCGACCTGCTGCACGACCTCGGCCAGCGGCGCCGCCCCTGCGGTGAACGTCTGGGCCGCCCCCGCCGGGGCGCGGGCGCTGCCCTCCTGGGGGCAAGGCCAACGACGTCGACGTCGACGACGACGACGACAGCGCCGACGACGGCGGCGACTCCGCGGCCGCAAGCGGCGGCGATGGCGACGACGTCGACGCCGCCGACGCCGCCGCCGCCGACGCCGCCGATGCCGACGACGAAGCCGACGCCAAAGCCAACGACGCCGAAGACGACGCCGACGGCACCAACAACGGCGTCGGTAGCGGCTGCGCCGACGGCCCGTCTAACGCCGAGGACGACGGCGGCGGCGACGACGACGGCGTCGACGGACCCAATCTCCCACCTCCTCCCTCCTCTCCCTTTTTCTCCTCCCTTCTCTTCCTCTCCTTCCTCCTCTTCCTCCTTCTCCCTCCATTTCCTCGTCCTCCTCCTCCTCCTCCTCCTTCTCCTCCCCCTCCTCTCTTCCTCATTCCCGCGTTTGCGTGCATCCGAGGACTCGATCTGCTCGTCCTCGTCCGCCTCCTCTTCACTCCTGCTCCGCACGCGTCCCGTGCTCACGCAAGACGGGGGCAGAGGGAAGAGCAGGAGAAGGAAGGAGAATGAAGGAGGGAAGGAGGAAGGGAGGAACGACGGCGACGATGCCGATGCTGATTATGACGATGATGGCGATGATGATGGTGGTGATGCTGATGGTGGTGATGATGATGATGAAGCTGATGATGATGCTACTTATGGTGATGATGATGAGGATGAGGGTGATGATGACGACGTCGGCAACAACGACGACGATACAGACGACGATGACGATGATGACCATGGTGATGATAAGGATGGTAATAATGATGGAGGTGGTAATTATGATAATACTGAAGATGATGATGTTGATGATGCTGATGATGATGATGATGATGTTGATAGTGATGATGATGACGAAAGAGGATGAAGATTCTGGTGATGAGGAAAATTATGCTGATGGCAATGACAGTGGTAATGATGATGCGGATGCTGCTGCTGCTGCTGCTGCTGGTGAAGATGATGATGCTGATGCAGAGGAGGAGGAGGATCACGATAATACGGAGGGGATCTGAAGACGGTGCTGGGGGGGGATGATGGAGAAGGAGTGGGGGAATCACGATGAAGAGGGAGGGGAGAGGACGCATGGACGGCACGATGGATGGCCCTCCTCCGCCTCCGCGTCGTCGAGCAGCGCGCTCGCGAAGCGCTTGCGCAGCGAGTCGGGGTCCTGGCTGGGAGGGGGAGGCGGGGGGGAGGGGGGGAAATGGCGGGGCGCGCGCGATGGGCCGCGCTCCCGCGGCCCTCTGTGGGCCTCTTGTTAAATTAGGATGGCCAGGGCGATGGGGAGGAAAACGACGACGAAGAAAGCGGGCGAGGAGGAGGAGGGAAGGGCTTCTAAAACACATACACGTATCGCACATTACGTACTGTATCTCTCTCATTCTCTCTCTCTCTCTCTCTATCTCTCGTTTTCCCTCTCTTTTTTTTTTTTTCTCTCTCTCTCTCTCTCTCTATCTCTATATATACAGCTGAATGGATACACAAAAACATGTGTACACGCATCCTGTCATCTACATACGTGTATACGTGTATACGTAAATACCAGCGTGGGTTCAAACAACGCGCTTCTACCAGGATGCGTTGTTCACTATAGGTGGGGCAACCTTTGTGGTGCAATTAATTTCTGTTCGCGGCGAATTGTCAATACCACTGCTCGCGCAATCATCCCACCAACCCACCCGCAACTTGGTTAGCATACGCCCATGCGGCGGCGATTGCGATGAGTGCTTGGTGTTGGCTGGCGCATATCTGCGGCCGCGCTAGCCGGCGCATGCTCGCGTACGCAACGGCTAGCTAGTTTGGCACGACGACGACGCATTGGAGGGCGATGACGTAGGCGACGACGAGGACGACGACAACGACGACGAGGGGGACGACGACGACAACGACGACGACGACGACAACGACACGGGGAATTAAGACGACGACGGCGACGAGGGTGGCGACGACGACGGCGACGATAAAGGGGACTACGACGACGACCACAACGACGAGGGGGACGACGACGACGATAACGGCAACGACGGCGACGACGACAAAGACGAGCGAACATGAATTTTTGAGAGTAGCGATGATGGTGACGATGGTAGAGATGACAAAGGCAAGGCCAACGACGGTGCCGATGTTGATCGCGCCCGCGGTTCACGATGACGATGTCCTCGCGTCGGCGATGAACGTTTTGGAAAGAGTTCGACACCCGCGCGCGGCCGACGGGGGCGCGCGTCCCGCCCCGCGGCCCATGCGAGATCTCCCTGGCAATCCCCCGCGCCCCCCGGGCCCGAGACAGCGGCGGGAGATCGCCGCCAGGCTTGCCTATATATTTCAAGACCTCGACGGGGCGGATCTCTGCGACGTCGACCTGCTGGGACACCACTGCCCCCCCGGCAGAGAGGTCCGGAGGCCCTGGACATGCGAGCCGGATGCGCTGCTTGGAAGTGCCCAGCTTGCTGGGGGGCCACCGCCCTGTCGATCCACTCAACCAGCTTCGCCCCCCGGCCCGGAGCGCGGCCGGCACCGCGGTGACCGCGGAACCCTGGCCCGCCCCGTCCCGCTCGATCTTCTGCGCGAGAGAACTCTCACGCGCGCACTTCTCGGCTCGGACGGCGCTCTCGCATCGAGCCGCTCCGTGGCCTTCGCCATTCCAGCCCGTCTTGCCGCCGCAGGCGCAGCGGGCGTTCGTGCATCCCGCGTCGCAGGCTAGGAGCTGGCCTTTGCAATCGCGAACGATCTGGCACTGTCGCGCCGTGCAGAGCCTGGCTTCGACGGCCTTGAACCCTCTGCGTTTCGGCGCTGGCGACCAGGATTCTCGAATGTTGCGCGAAAATTTCTGGTCGCCCCCCTCCGCGTAGCCCGCCCAGGACCCGCGCGCGCCCTTGCGCCACCAGTCCTCGTGGACCTCGGCGCATACGACAGCTTTGTCGAGGTCTTTCGTCTTAACCACGGCCGCGTTCATGAGCGGCACGCGTGGCTTGATGCGCCTAGACGGCGCTCGTAGATGAGCCCCACCGATGGGGCTGCTCGCTAGTCATCGTCGACGACCTCACCCCAAGTCTGGCATCCGCGCGTGACGGCCTCCTGCTGATTCTCGTTCGCCGCCTGGCTCAATGGCGTCCAGCCATCTTCTGGGGCGTTCACCCACTCCTCGAAACGATCCTCGGACGTCTTGTCTGGCTGATCACCTGTGCTAATGGGGTCGATGCCAACGCTGCCCCCAGCTGTCGCCCGCTGCCAGCGAAGCCCTCCCTCGCCCTTCAAGGAGAAACTCACCACACATGTGAAAACCGTCGTCGCCACAGAAAGCGCATCCATGTACCTCTTGAGTCGCTGCTCTGCGCTGGCTGTCGAGGAGTGCTTCTTGATCTCGCCTAGCTGCTAGGGCGAAGCGCACCTCTGGGCTGGTGCAATGGCCCCTTCCCTCTCCGCGCAACAGGGGAGGCACTGGTGGCCGCGGAATGCCACCCCCTGTCCCGATGCCAGCTTTCGCCCCAGATGCCAGGAGCGACGCGCCACTTCTGCGGTTGCTCTGCCGACCAGAAGTTCTTCATCATCTTCCAGCTGTCCTTGTCGCCGCACTGCAGGCGCCATCGTAGCTGGCTTGCCGAAGTGGCGCATGCCCTATCCAGACGCAAGATATAATCATCTGGCGCCTTGCCGATCTGCGTCGCGCGCGCGCAGTCGCGGGCTTCTCAGCGACCTTGCTATACCCCTCCTCCTCGAGGCGGGCCCTGGCCTTGACGATGTCCGAGGAGGATGTGGTCAGGGGGTTCTTCTCCGCCTTCCCCCCCGTCCTCACCAAGTCCTCAGCTGCCCGCGTCAAGATCTCTTTCGCCTCTCGGTTCTGGACCCAAGTCTCCTCTGAGATGGCCTGCGCGACGCTCGCCATCGCCTGCGCGAGCGCCGTGGCAATCGCGGGGGCAGGCGGCAGATCTAAATCGAATCGCGCGCAAAATGTCGCGGCAAATTGGGCGCCGCATGAGAGGGAGAGGAAGACAACGCACATCTTCATCCTGCTCCCCCCGCCGGACGCCAAGTGGCCAACGGCGGAGCCCAGCTTGAACCGATCCGAACGAGCTGGAACTCGGGGCAACCCAGGCACCGCCCCGATGGCTCGCCACGGGGGGGGCGCATTCAGTTCGAATTGCGTCTTCGCCCGCGTCTTCTCCCACGCGATTCTAGCGTCTTCGCCCGCGCGATCGTCCTCGCCCAAGTGCGTCTTCGAGAAGCGTATTCGTCTGCAGCTATTCAGGGCTGCAATGTATATATGTATGCATATGTATGGTTCTCGAATAGATGTGTATACAGATTCTTTCGAGGTCGTTCGGACAAGCTCTGACTCAATTGTCTTGCCAATGGTGCCCTGCCGTAAGACCTGAAACGCATGCATTTCGTTTCTGTTTTTTTCTGGCTCATGGCTGCGCTAAAGGCGCCGCGAGCAGAGATGGACAGAGAGGAGGAGGATGAGCAGCAGCAGCAGCAGCAGCAACAGGCGCAGGTCGATGAACGCTCGGTTTTTGCGTGATCGGGATCCTTCGGCATCGTTAGGATTCGCATGGCTGAGGATCTTCAGGGCCCCATGTGGCTCTGTAGGTTCATTACATTACCGAGGAAATCCAAAACATCACTTCGAATCTAAACGCTTCCCTTTACATTCCGAAAGGGTTCCATGGGGCGGACAGGACGAGTTCGGCGTTCGAGTTCGCATGGGTTCCTGGGCGCCCCTATGGACCCTTTGAAATCTCAGGCAGCTCCGGACAAAAACACACAATCCTTTCCCAACAATGCATGGACATCCTTCGGACCACGTGCTAGAACAATAACACCCAAAAGAACCGCATTCAGGAGTAGTTGTTGGGAGATTCATGCGAAGACGAACCCAAATTAAGTGACTGTCGACATCGCAACGACGGAATCCTTACGACAAGTGTATTTGTGGGGGTATCATTTTTTCATGGAGTAGTTACCACGCATGCTTCCTACATAAAACCCATAGTCATTGAAACATTGCTGAATCATGCCCATGAGCCGCGCCGTAATGAGGATTTCGTATGCAAGAACCAATACTCATGTTTTTTTTTTCTTTTTTTATCGAAGCGTCTTTACTACATGCTCATGAATAATAACCGATGAATGTGTCACTCCAGGGCCCCACTGGGAAACCTACGACAATAGGCCGCATTCGGACGATCATACAACAGGCATTATTGTTGAAAACGTCCTTACCGAGGGGTCCCTACGAACATAGGATCGCGCATTCAAATTCCGTACGAAGGACAGCGGTACTGAGGATCCCGTACGACAGGAACCATTTTACTGCGGAGTTCTCACTACACAGAAACATGACGAAACAGTTCTCATTGGAACAATTATTACTCAAACAACCTTATTGGAAGGATCCGCACGAATGGGATCTCAACTACGGCACCCGTGTTGAGGGCATCGTTATTACATGATTTATTTCGACGGAAATCGTACCCAACTCGTACAGATTGCCTCCATATGTTTTTTTTTCGCACGGGCACCATTTAGGACGATGCATTCGTAAGGGAGCTTGTTTACAGCGACACCCTGGGCAAATATTCCATGAGGGTCCTTGGGGGGGGCGCCCGTATCGATGTAATCGAATTATTCCCCACATTCTAAAAAAGGTTGTTGTTTTCTCCGCACACTTCCGCGCAGGAGCCACGCCTCACACTTCACCCCTTCCTCCTGTCCCCCATTCATCACATTATGATCACCGGTCATCACGATCACCCGCTCAGTCTCTCACTCGTTCACTCATCATCCATCAATTCGTCACCATGTCACGATCCCACAACAGTCACCGACAATCACCATCGCCATTATCATCACCTTTATCAACCACTCAAACTCAGTCTCGCTCACGCAAAGACATTCACTTATCCCCCACTCACTCATCATCCGGTCATCGTCCATTAACGTGCTATCGTCATGAATCGCGTCATTATCCCACACCCTCCCCTTCTTATCACAATTCATATTATTGTCGCCAGCATCACCCATATTCGACCGCGCACTCATTACCATCATGACCACCACGATGACCATCATCGTGCTCATCTCATCATCACCATCACCACCACGATCGTCTTCATCCACCAGCATCGTCATCATCATCCTCACCGCCCACCACCACCAACACATAACCATCATAGTCGCCAGCACCGTCATCGTCACCATCCAACATCATCGTCATCACCGTCCTCATCACTCACCATCGCCATCATCAACCCATCATCACTCACCATCACTCACCATCACCGTCACCATCATCACACATGTATCAACATCACCATCCCATCATGATCACCAGCCATAACGGAACTTCGTCTGTGGGTGAATCTCGAGGACGCCTCGGGCGGGAACCCTTTCCCAATGAGACCCGCACTTCATGCTCGAATCGAAGCGGGTCATCCAAATCCTGGAACTGTCGTCGCTCGTGGGCTCCTCAAGCCTGAACGTGCAGGAAATCTCCGGCGGGGGCCTCGTATGTGAATGAACCGCGAGGAAGTCTCATGTAGAAACCCCTCCCTATGCGGACCGCGCTTTATGTTGTAATCCGAGCGGGTCAGACAACTCCTGTAACTGGCGTCACTTTCGGGCTTCTCAGGCTTGAAGCTCGAGGAAGTCTCTGGCGGGGGCCTCCTCTGCTAGTGAATCGCGAGGGCGTCTCAGGCGGGAGCCTCTTCCCCATGGGCCCGCACGTCATGTTCAGATCCGAGGCGGGCCATCGGAATCCTGCACTCAAAATCCCTTGTCGATCGCCCCCCCAGGTCCGGTTTTTAAGGCGTTTTTTTTGTGACTGGGGGCTCCTGTTTATTAGGGCGCTTTCTTTGGATTGGAGCTTGAGGGGCCCGGTTTATTAAGGCGCCCCGTCGAAGAGGGGGCCCGGACTATTAGGTCGCACTTGGAGAGGGGTGCGTGTTTTTTTTTTGGGGGGGGGTCGATTAACAAGGGATTTGGAAACACTGTTGTCGCTTTGGGGCTCCTGTAGCGTGAATATGGAGGGGGTCTCGAGCGGGGGGCCCCTCCTTATGGGGCCCGCTGGGCCAGCTCCTTCGCCCGCGCTACCTACCGCAGGGGATCTGGTTGCATGTTGACGGTTTCAAGGAGTCTCCGATCTGAAAAGAGGTCGCCGAGGTGCTGCTGCAGGGCGCCGAAGGCGCTGACGACGACGGCGAAGCCGAGGCGCGGGCGTGGAGCTTGCTCATGTTCAGGCCCAGCGAGCAGGAGTTCACGTGGCAGAGCTCAGGGCCGCACGCCGTGCGCCGCTCGGGGCCCACCTTGACGCGCGCGTCCTACCTAACGTGCACGCTGTCGCAGGGCCAGACGCTGCGCAAGGGCATCGCCATCGACTGCGCTGGGGATGAGGACGCTGGTCGCACGGGCATGTCGGACGAGCAGCGGTGGCTGCACCGCTGCGTCATGTTCTCCCGCGTCGCGCGCATGCGGAACATGCTGGTCCTGCGGCCGCCCACGCGAGGAGTTCTTGGAGCGCGGGCCGCCGGCGTCCCTGCGGGAGGGGCTCGGGGAGTTCGACAAGCAGGCTGCGAGCTCCAGGACTCAGGTGGAGCAGCTCGCGGCAAAACTGGGCTTCGTGCTGCCTCCCGCCTGAGTGCGCTCGGTGCCTGCGGGGTTGTCTCAGCGGCCTGGCCCGCAGGCTTGTCCCAACGGCTTCGCGATCTCGGAGAGAGCGCCCCTGCCGGGCGTGGCGGCGAGGAAAATCGGCATGCGCGCATGAGCAGGCGGGATGGAGATGAGGAGGGGGAGGAGGAGAAGGTGGAGGAGGGGAAAAAACGAGAAGGAGGAGGAGGGGGAATAGGAGGAGGGGGAGGAGGAGGAAGAGGTCAAGGAAAAAGAGGATAGGAAATATAAAGGGTAGGGCGAGAAGGCCACTGATGATGAGAAGGAGCACGCAGAAGAGAAAAGAGGGCCTGCGCCCGCCCAAGAGGAAAACGGCGAGGGGCAAACTAAACACATTCTCGTGTGGGGCCCTATAGCCATAATGATTTGTAGTTATGATACACATATATGTATCTATATGTATGTATATATATACCTACTTCCATACGTACGTACATACATACATGAAACCAAACGTACATACATGTAAACACACACTTCTGTATATACTGTCATACATACATATACATACACGTATATATACATCTACAACTACATGTGCATATGCATATACATATACATGTACATATACACAAACATACACAAACATACACACATACACATACACATACACATACACATATACATACACACATACACATGCATGTACAT